AAGAAAAAAAAAAGACAGCTTTTTATAATTCTAACAAATGCAGTTGAAGAAAGAATCTGCTGGGATAAGCTTTTGTTTGGAAAATTTTGACACAGGCGGACTTTGAATGTGTCATAGTATATAGGCTTATATCTAAAGTTGCTCTCACTAAAAACATTTTCAAAGGACCCAAGCCCACGTGACTTCTCCCTACACACTCGACCTCCATGCTCTTTATACAAGTAAATCACTTGCTGTGAATATTCAATTTGCCTTTTTGTTAGGCAGGGTATACAGGCCAAGGGGAGAACCGAGAGGGTGTTAGGCAGGGTATACAGGCCAAGGGGAGAACCGAGAGGGTGGGAGGGCAGGGTATACAGGCCAAGGGGAGAACCGAGAGGGTGTTAGGCAGGGTATACAGGCCAAGGGGAGAACCGAGAGGGTGGGAGGGCAGGGGAAGAACAAAGGAAAGTCCATTCCAGGACTTCTCCATTGACCCACGGCGCCCACCCACTGAATGATCCATGGGGCTTGCCAGGGGAGCGTGCACGCCGGGCTAATGGGGCACAGAGCTCAAGCTGGACTGGAGTTCTGAATGCTGCTGAGTGCCTTCCAGTGCTTAGCACCTGCAGATGCTTGGGGAAACTGTTCCTCCTCCAACAGCTGTTCTCCACAGGAGTTCAGGCGAGTGCCTGTCAGCCAGGACGGGGAGCCACTGAGGGGCTCCAGACGGCCCACACGGACTACATCAACGTGTTCAGCACTTCGCAGAAAACAGACTTTCAAGGAATTCCTGTGGTGAGGAGATAAATGATTCTGACGCAATTCCTCACTGAAATGTCTAGGTAAATGAGGACTTCTGGAAAGCCAACCATACATAGGGACCATAGTTTCAGGTCCCCAGACTAGGATGTATATTTTGTCAATACTGAAAAGGACAGCGCCATCCTCTGGACTCTCCCTCTCTGCTTCGTCCTTATTGTCTGGTCTCTGGTTTTTTTCATTGCAAAGGAGAGGTGATGCCAAGTGAGCCTCCAGATTCTGGTTCCTTCTCCCAGGAGCCAACACGCAGTCTGCTGTGAGTAAGCCATGGAACAGAGGAGCTGCTTCAAAGGCCTTGGGGAGTTTTCCACGTTGGCTGCCAGGCTAGTTAAGTGTGCAGTGTTGGAAATTCTAATTCTGGATGAAAAGAGTCACCCCCGCCCCCAGAGGGGTAGGACAGATAAAATGAGGAAAGTCTGCCACAAGAAGCCAACGTCTTCATCTCAAACCACCTCTGCTAGGGAAACATTGTTTTAAACTTTTTCAGAATTCCTATTTTTTAAAAAAAAAACTATTCTTTGCTTTACATGGTCCTCCTGAGAAATCTTGACTTCTCTAAAAAAAAAGACAAGGATCTGGCAGGGGAAATATTTATTGCTCTTACCAATCATCTCTGGCAAATTCCTTCAAAACCTGACCTCTTCATTTTTTTTCCCCACCACGGAGATGGACTGCCTTGCACACCAACAGGAAGGACACCAGGAGCAAAGTAGGCCTTTGCTTCACCTCCTCTCCACCCCTTTCTACGCCCTTGTTCCCAGCTCTCCATTCTGGGAATGTGCTTTGAAACGGGGCCACGGTGAGAGGGCGTGAGGCCTCCTTGTCACTAGGTCAGAAACTGAGAGGTTTTGAGGAGAAGTTTCCTCTAATGAAATGAAAGCTTCAGAGTACTCCAGATGGAAAGAGTGCCAGAAGAAACTGTCTTTCCTTAGCTGCCTCGGTAGGAGGGACGCTACCAGTGTCAAGCACAGCGGGAACGGGGGAGCCAGGCCTTGGAAGGTGGCCATTCATGGTTTTGGGACCGGGTGCAGCTGTTTCACATGGAAAGGGTCAGCGGCTCAGAGCAATAATTCTGTGGAGCTTGTAGACAAATGAATTCACAATATCCTTTACATATCTTGGCGTCTCCAGCCCCCTCCAATCTCCAGGCTGTCTACCTCTCTTCGGTGGCTACTTATTTCAAGGACTGAGATGGAGGATAAACAAGAGCTGCACTTAAAGAAACTGCTCCAGACCAAGAAGACACATTCTGGGAGCAAACTTGATTCCCAGGTGGTCTTGATGAGGGACACTGAGGTACACTATGGGAGCGCCGGTCACCGCGCCTCGGAAATGCCTGTTTCTTTTCTCCGACACAAGTCATGCAGCACTTTTGTGTTCAGCACTTTGCAAAGAGCAAAGCAGATGTCGGCTGTTGAAGAATGCATGCGAGCCTGAAGCCAGCAACACTGCAATCCACCAAATGCCTGTGATGGAATCCATAGCTCCTCTGCTCACAAGTTTCCTCACTGACGTCATTTCAGGGGAAGCCAAAAATAAATAGCAGAATATGCAGGAAGAGCCCAGACAGGCTGAAGTGGTTGAGTGTTTCAAGCAAACAGCAACAGCGGAGGGACTGTTTTTCTACAAGGGAGGGGGCTCGGGGGAACACGATCCACACATATGTGAAGCCAACCTTTGCACTTCACAGTGTTTCACCGGGATATGTTTTCAAGTTAAACCCAGATGAATAATGGTAAAGAAAAGAAAAAAAAAAAAAGCAAGAAATAAAGGCCTTCCCTAGCTTCGGTAACAACAGCTGGAGAGACCTTCATTAATCACGTAATTGTGTATCTGAAGTTCTGCTTGCTAGAAAGAAACCTCAGGCAGGTAGCTGAAATTACCCTGTAGGCAGCCCGCTGAGGCCTCTTTGTCTGCAGTGGGAGGAGGACATGAAGAAGTGCCCAGGGATCCTCTGCTGAGGAATCTTTATGTTCCTTGCACCTGCAGACACTTATTCTGGCAAAGCTGCACATCACATTTAAAGTACTAAACCCAGGTTTCCCATACACTAATGGAAGATGTTAGATTTGAAAGAACACAGCAAGTCTAAGACAGAAATAAAACGCACATGAAGATTTCAGATTCTGGGCTGGGTGCAGTGGCTCATGCCTGTAATCCCAGCACTTTGGGAGGCCAAGGCGAGAGGATCACTTGAGACTGGGAGTTCAAGACCAGCCTGGCCAACGTGGTGAAACCCCGTCTCTACTAAAAGTACAAAAATTATCTTGGTGTGGTGGCGTGTGCCTGTAATGGCTGTACATTTCACCTGTAGAAAATAGTTAGAGGACTAGCTGCCCAAACCCTGCAAGGGCCACATTATCTGAGCCTGGCACTTAAGAGATTACGGGAACTAGGATCAAAGGCAGAGGCCAAAGTTCTGATTAATTTATTATCACTAGTAACATTTTAACTAATGTTACTACTGGGGAGGCTCAGGCAGGAGAATCACTTGAACCTGGGAGGTGGAGGATGCAGTGAGCCGAGATTGTGCCAACACTGTACTCCAGCCTGGGTGACAGAGCAAGACTCCATCTCAAAAAAAAAAAAAAAAAGATTTCAGATTCTGTACTCCTAGTTGCTATAGGCCAGAAAAGTTATTGTTCTCTCCTTTTATCACTGTCCTATAGTAGATGAGGTTGGGGATTTTTAAAAGCAGCTGGCAAATTCAGTCGCACTGTTGGCTGTGCAGACTTTCATGGGCCTCTTGCCTCTCAACACCTCTGGCCTGTTGTTAGTGTTCTAACAAAGATCACCACTGCCATGGTCACCTGGTGTGTGGACAAGTGGCTATATCTACATAAAAGGTTGACTTTCACTTGAACTATATATGCCACTGATAAGAACGTTTTTGCTCCCATTAAATGTTCTTCTGGGAGAAAAAAAAAAAAACATCAAAGAAACTTTAAGCTTTGGGCTGTGGTTTGTCGTTTAGAACCACCATAAGAATGAGGATCACAAGAAACCCTGACATCTACCCTCTTCGGTCCCACTTGCGGACAACTTTCTCCCATGCTCCCAATCACTCAAAAAGCCAAGGGAGCAAAAGAAAATGTGTGATAGAACATTCTGGCCATATTCTCTCAGCAGGATCTTGGCCCGTACAAAATACAGTTACTTACCTGCTGGGGAAGTGTTTTGGAGGAAGCAGGGAGGAGAGGCTAACAAGAGAAACTGAATACCCTCTAGGGCAGTAAAGACTGAAGAGTCAGCTGGGCACGGTGGCTCACGCCTGTAATCCCAGCACTTTGGGAGGCGGAGGCGGTTGGATCATGAGGTCAGGAGATCGAGACCATCCTGGCCAACACGGTGAAATCCCATCTCTACTAAAATACAAAAAACTAGCCAGGTGTGGCGGGGTGTAGCTGTAGTCACAGCTACTCAGGAGGCTGAGCCAGGGGAATTGCTTGAATCCGGGAGGTGGTGATTCCAGTGAGCCAAGATTGCACCATTGCACTCCAGCCTGGAGACAGAGTGAGACTCTGTCTCAAAAAAACCAAAAAACAAAAAACAAAAGACTGAAGAGTCAACCTTAAAAACAGGGGTCAGCAAACCATAATCCTCAGGCCAGATCTGGCCTGCTGCCTGTCTGTAAGTAAAGTTTGATTGGCACACAGGCATGCTTATTCATTTATATTGTCTAGGTGGCTTCCGTACTCGAATGGCAGAGTAGAGTGGTTGGGATAAAGACCGGGCTTACACAGCTCCACACATTTACTGCCTGGCTCTGTGCAGAAACAATTTGTTAACACCTGCTTTAAAAAATTAGAATTTCCTTTAACTTTTGAAAGTAAGTGCTTGGCCAAGAGAATTCGGTTAATCTGTAACGAATGGCAGCAGATACTTAATGGTGGGGGAGGGGATCTCAGAGGCCTTACGAGTCAGTGTTCTGCAATTCTTTTGTAGGATAAAGGACAAGTGGCCTTCAATTTTTCTCCTGCATCCTTTTCTTAGCCAACTATTAAATGCCCCACTTTTCCATGTCTGTAGATTATAGGCAGCTTCACACTCTCTACTTATGATCAGTGAGATCCTGACATCTAGGTGCCCCCTCTGCTGGTTCCCAGGGTAGATGAAAGCAGCAGTTGTTCCCTTCTCCCTAAGGCATAGCTGAGTGTCACTGTGACTACTACACTGGTGGCCAGAGACCACTGCTGTACCTGTTGGCCAAAAGCTGAGACCTAGTTCCCGAGGGCGAGGTCAGGTAGATGGCCAGGTCTCCTCTCCTGGGGTGGGTGATGGTGATGCGCACAACGACATGCTCCAGGTAGTTGACATGGCGGTTGGGGTTATCCGAGCAGCCCGAAGCTTTGTAGATGGAGCGCACTGCACTGTTAGGGCGGATTGTCCTGTAACAGAGAGAGAGGGAGTTTGAGCAAATGACACCATAGAGCTCAGGTGAGTGAAGCTGGAGGCATGGAATAAACTTACAATGTAAGACAAGCAGCTGATAGCTGGATACTAAACAACAGTGCTATCACCAAAATAACTGGGTCACTGAAAGGATTACCAGTTAGTGGGAAAGATGCAAGGGAGAGGGGAAAAAGGAACAAGGGTCTTCCATCTTCATGAAGGTAATAGATCTCAAACTTGAGTGTGCATTGATACCACCTTGTTAAAACACAGACTGCTGGTCCCAGAGTGTATGATTGAGTAGGTCTGGGATGGATCTCAAGAATTTGCATTTCTAACAAGTTCCCAGGTGATAGGGATACACTGTGAGAACCACTGTACTGTGGTACAGTGGAGGCTTGGGGATGAGCATAACGGGGGTTCACATTCCTCGCTCTGTAACCCGCCAGCACATTCTTCCCTCTTGCCTACAGGTTCCCGTCTTCCTCTCTAGCTTCTTCCTGTGCCACAGTTCCCCTTGAACACTGGGCTGCAGCCACAGTGGCATCAGGTTCAACCTCTGGGATAATTCAAGTTTCCCACCTTGGGGACTTCACACACACTACTCTGCTTGAAGTGCTTTTTTTGTTGTTGTTGATGTCCCTATGGCTAACTCTTCTTCCTTCAAGGTCAAAGCTTAAATTTCCCCTCACTGAGACCTTCATCGAGCCACCGGTGAAAATACGTCCCCCATCTCTTATTTTTTACATTGTTAAAATTTCCAACATTCATTTATTATAATTTGTAATTATTTACTTATTATATTTTTGGTGTGATGCCTCCATTAGACTGTAACCTCCACAAGGGTAGGAAGTATTACTTATTCTCCTTTTTATTCCTAATATTTTGCTCAGTGCTTAATTTTCAGTAAGTGGGAGAAAAATAGTTACTTAGTGAAAGAGTCTGTGAATGAATAAATACATAATTCCTTTGATCCCATTTTCTCATTTTTCAAATGAGAGTAACGCCCAAGTTGTTACACAGCTTTAACATGAAAACATACATGAAGTCTCTAGCCCTTGGCGTGGCCCATAGTAAGTGCTCAACAAACACTGGTTCACTTTCCACCCTTTTGTTTTTTCTCTCTCATTCTTTGCCACAAGAGTAGAATGAAAATAAACTCAAACAACTTTAGTTGGTTTACTTCTGCTTCCCAACACATTTTCTCAAGAATGACAATGTCTCTAGTTTCAACATTAGCCAAGGTTCAAAAATACTTTTCAGAGAGAAAAGTCTCTGAACAGAAAGCCAAGAGCAAAACACTAATAAGCCTACTAAGATAGAATCCTGTTGGCAAACCTTGTCAGCACAGCCTCCAAGTCTATGCCACTAAAACTGGGGAATAGGCCCTGAAAGCTGTGAGTAAACTGCAATCTCATTGACTGTACATTTTGCATCACTCTTTGGATAACTACGCGGTATAGAGTAGTTACAGTTTTTAAAAGTACACTGACTTCTGGAGAATACTTGCACCATCAAATAGAAATAGCGACAGTAGAAAACCTTCAATAGCCCAGAGGTAAGCATATCCCCCAATCCCTTTTTAAAAGATGCTTTTCTTTGAAGGATTCTTGGGCTATACTAGTATCAATTTAATAGCTCAAAATCCTATTACCATTTCATAGTCACATTAGAGAGATACTACAGAAGCTTTTGGCTTCTGTGTGCAACAAGGGGCTGTCTTGAGCAATTTACTGGCTTGCTGTAGTTTGGGGCATTGTTATGCTGTTTGCCAGCAGCAAGCATTACTTGATTTGTCGGTCTGTGCTCTCCACACACACGTGCTGCCGGGGAACGGTGGTCCACTTCTCTGCCTCCATCACCATGGCTTCTGCATCCATCAGTCCAAATCCATATAGATGGCTCACTGTGGAAAGCAAGAGACTGGTCAGCTTCACTAAGCTACATATGTCGAATTATAAAGTCACTCAGTGGAGACTCCAGATACACCCCTGTGGGATCCTAGCTAAGTTTCCAGCAATGATTTGAGAAATAAATCCAGCAAAACAAATATATAATCATGTCAAGAAAATAAGACATATGTACAGTTTTCACTGATTGCCTATCACTACCAGTAATATGCCTATCATTTATGAATTGTTACTCCATGCCAGGCACTAGTTTACAGTTTTACATTTAGTCCTCCCAACAATCTTCAGAAGTTAGTGCCATTATTATTATCATCATTCATTAATGAGAAAACTGAAGAACAGAGAAAAACTTGGCCAAGATTGACTAGCAAGTCACTGGTCGAACTAGATTCTAATGCACATAGTGTTTCTCCAGGGCCCACCCTGTTCAATCACTTGCATTTAAGTGATGATACCAATGTTCTGACATGTCTAGTAATTAAGTTGACTACCTTAGAAGACATAAATTATTACCTTTCTTCTAGCATATACAAAATTTATCAAACTTGATCCATGAAATATTTGGAGGCCTCTAGACTTTCATGCCAGCTTCGAGTCTTTGGATCTTTTGGTTCTCAGTTAGCATACCTATTGATCTAAAGCTGAATTTGACGTAACTGTCTCAGAAACTTCAATTAGATATAGGAATACTTGGTTGATACAGTAATATATACATGTGCAACAGATCTTTCTAAAAATACTTTAAAATTCCAGTTGGCACTTAAAATCTCCACTTCTTATTGAACTGTCTCTTATAACTTTATATTCAACACTATGTCCTATTTCCAGTTTTTGCCTAAAACGTTTTTTATTATCACATGAATGACTTTACGCAAACATTTATATAGCTGCCCATGCTTATGGATTACGTAAATACATCAGCTTGATGGTCAAGGTGTGCTCAGATGTAGTTCCATTCTACCTGCAAAACCACCTCATCACCAAACCTTTTGCTTTAGGAAGGCCACTCTCACAGACCCTAGTCAGAAGCTACTCTTTCTGCCCCCCTGCCGTTGTCCAGGTTGAGCACTTGGCCTCACAACCCCTCTTTCTTTCTCTCTGCAGAGTTAAGCCCTACTCTTATAAGTTCCTGAAGGCCTGGCTAGTCTATCTTTTCCTTCTTGAAGTACTCTCTGACCCATGAAATAGTCAAAAGACATTTACTGAAATTCGACTATCTGTGACCAGTGGACTTTTCTCCTTTCTATTCTGGTAACCAATTAATTTGTCAGTCCATCTGCCCTTCTGCCCATCCATCCATCCATCCATCATCTATCCCTCCATCCATCCGTCATTTCTTGAATGCCTTTGATGTGCCACACACTGTTATCAGGCACTGCACTTTTTATCTGTGCCATCAATTGCATTGCCAATTAACTCCCTCTGTCAGCATATGTCTTTTGACTCCAGCTGCATTATAAACTGCTTGATGACAGCAACTGGGTCTTGTTTCTTTATGTGTTCTAAGTTAACAGAACTTGATGCACATAGAGGACAAATAAATTATAGTATATAAAAAAGCAACATTGTGCTAGGATGAAAAATACTGACTTATTCATGCTTATTTGCTGATAATTCTCAGCAAACAAGAAAAAATAATACACATTTTCCTTGTTTTGGGATGTTACGATCTACGTCATCTACATTATTAAGTTCAGGAAGCTCCATGTGAAAAATCTGTGTAAAGAACCACAATAATGTAAGGTCACCTTACTTTAATAAGAGGTACTTAGCCAGATAGGACATACGAAATAAAAAAAGTGAACCTACTTCGCTACGGCACGGATATAGGTAGGAGTTTTATAAAATGTACTTCTGTAATTTTTATTATTTTTCTTAAATTAAAAAGTAAGCATATTCATTGTAAAACATCTTATCCAGAAAAGAGTAAACAAAATGAAAGTTATCAAAAACCTTATCACAAGTTGATAGCTTTTATGAAAAATTCTGAATATTTAGTTTTAGTTCCACAACATCATGAGGGTTCATTAAAAAGGGACAGAGGTACTCACATGATACAGAAAAAATGTCAAATTTGGGCTTAAGGAACTAAACAGTGGAGATCATGAGAATCATTATATTCTTACTTATCATTTAACCATATAGCCTATACCAGGTCATCATGGACAGTCGATGGGATTTTTCCCCCACCCCGGGGAAATTGAAATTGAAAGATGTTGTCAGGAGTTCTACCTCCGATCGTCCTTAAATATCCCCCATGCTAGGGTCAAGTGGTTTTAAACTAGCACAACTCATCATTTTATTTCAGTTTAAGGAAGTAAGATGAAAGATTTGATTGCATGTTGGGGGTATGGAGAAGGGAGGTGGGGACTTGGAGAGGGCAAGGGCTTAGAGCTGTCACTGCAATACCAGGTACGTGCCCCACCTGAGTGCGACACTTGCACTCAGCTGCACTGGCTCCTATTTCCACCTCCCCTCCTCCATAACTGTTCACCTTACAACCATGAGGACATAAATTAACATGAACAATCAGATACAGCAAACACTTCATGCCTGTTAAACAACCACTTGAGTTAAGTAGAAACGCACCTTGAGACTTTATGAAGGCCATAAATTTGTTTCCTTTTCCAATTCAATTTCTACCCTCCAGAGACAATGTCTGTTCATGAAACACTCAAACTAGATGCTTAGAAAAGAGGCTGACTAGCTACAGTTAAACTGCAGACTGGTCAATGAAAAAAAAAACTTCATATTAATATAATATTAATAAACAAGAAAACTGGTTGCTGAGTAGATCAATGAAGGTCAATATGTCAATAAGGGAAATTGCACAATAAATGTGTTGGGCAGATGAACTCCCTCAAAATCTGGTGTCAATAGGGGAAAGAGCCATTAAGCAGTTTGGAAGCACTGACAATTTTTTTACATAAAATTTTCATACTCAAAATGACCTATAAAGAGAGAAACATTGACTTTTTGGGTGACCATTTGAGTCAAGTCTGTCTTGCTCATCTACTGTTATCCTGAGGGGCTCCCAAGGGTTCAGAGTATGAGTCTCTCCAGGGGCTGTGAAATGCCTGGCTTGGAGCAGGGCTTTCATCAATATTTGTGAAATGAATGAATGGTACCGAGAAGAGAAATGTTATTTAATTCACCAAGTGTCATAAAGTGTTTACTAGGGAATTGTAAGGGGAAATTAAGAGACCTGTTCTTTTTATTACTGATTTCTGTAAAGTCACCCTTAACATTTGAAATTTATTCAAGGACGGAGCCAATATTCACATTTTACAAAGTACAATTATAGCAAATATACTGTACAAATGGTTGGTTACAATACGGCCATTCCATAAAGAAAGCAATCTTACTTATGCACATTTCTCATGCCCAGTTCAGAGCAAAAGCTGAGCCTGAATATAATTTTATGATGATCAAGAGGAAGCCTCTCTGTGCAAGCACTGTGTAAAATGCAGAATTGCATGAAATCAGAGCACTGTTAACATTGGTGTGAACAGGAATCCCGACCAGTTCAAATAGAATTTTTCATTCCTAAGAGTGGGGGCAGAAACATTCAATTCAGTTTTAACCTTAGTTAAAATTCAAAAATCAAATATTAAAAACATATTGAGGGAACAAAGTACGTATATGGAATAATTAAAGATCTTGAAGCAAAGTTACTGGAGTACATTTCGGAAAGTAAATTTGTTTTTTAGTGGAGTGAGGTAGGACAAGCTCTGTTTCAATAAAGGAAGTTTGCAAAACTTGCCTACCGTTATATCTGTTCCTTTAGAGTTCAGGGCTGTTTACATTTTGATAGGTATAAGATATCAACTGAGGTCTCACACATAGCCTCATGTATGCACGTAAGCTCAGGAAAGCCGTTTCATCTTGCACCAGAAGTACAGCTAGTTTTTATTCAAAAGTATCCAAAGGCTTCCCTGCTTGGAATAGTCAGATGGACAAGAGAACACAGGAAAATAGTTAATATTCTCTGGCAGGTATATTCTCATTTTCTGATGAGACCAGAAGTGCTGAGAGAAGATAATCGTTAGGCACACAAGTAGGTAATTGCGTAGTTTGAAAGCAGATTCAGTTAATATACACAACAGCTTTAGCTAGGAGGCCTAAAAGACTCTATTCTAAAGATAAGCTAGAAAGCTCAGCAGGAAAAAAAAATAGAAGTTTCTGGGCATAAGAAGCTGTAACCAGGAAAAATTGGGTATATGTTCATCTCTTTTAGTGGATGGTCCTTACTGGAACCAGCTATTTAACAGTTTTACAAAATTACACTGAATGGATAATTCATGATGACACTAACCAGATTATCAGTAAATCACTCTACAAGGAATTGACTGGTTACAAACAGTTTGAGCTTCCTAAAGTGAAAGAGGACCTTTCTGCTAAAACACAGCATTATGCAGTGTCCCGCAAATACATAAAATAGGGCAAACAAACAAATTAAGGCCAACAAGCAGCACCAAAAACTCTCTCCAAGCAGCCCAGGAGAAACTTTAAATTTGGCCTATGCCTGAAAAAAATGCAACTTAGTAACAACTGTCCATTACTGAGTATTTAATGTAAAAGCATAGCTAAAATACCTCTCTATTCCTTATGACCAGGGAGAGTAAATGTCCACATTTGCTCAGGGCTGTCTGATGTTAGCATTGAAATGCTTGAGCCCTGGAAATTCCCTCATTCCTGGGCAAACCAGGAGACTGGTCACCGTACATGCAACTGAAATCGGAATGTGACAGTACTGTGGAGAGCCAGTACTCTCCCAACTGTTAACATCAATAATCTAGTTCCTAGAGGGCAGTCAGGCATCCTGCACCTATATTTCTATTTGTTCAGATGCACATAACCATCAAACTATGAAACATGGATGATAAATTAGATTCAATTATTTGATTATTTGAAAGCATCTGTTTCAATATACTTCACCAATGTAAGTTAAAAATTGATCCAATTAATTATCATATCACTCAGGTTGCAAAGCACC